GGTTGGACTCATTTGCTACTATCATCTGAAGGATTTTCCCATCAAACAAGAACAAGAACAAACACTCCAACTCCTCCACCTTATTAATGTAGCCATCCAATGAATTGCTTACAGCATGGGCATGACCTGGGGTGGTCACACCTCCTCCAAGTGATGTATCATACTGGTGGACATTGGGAGGAGGATACCAAGGGACACCCAGCATACTTTTTGATGATCAGATATGGATCCATGGTCATCTTGGGAGGGGCTCCTAGTACTAYGAGGGTGCAGGTCACCACCACTGTTGTCAGATAGGTCTGCATCATTCTTAGGAGTATGACCATAGTACGAACAATTGTTGTCAACCATCACACAGAAAAAGAATCATTATCATCCATCTTAGTAATATGATTATTTTATGTTGGTAAATATGATGGTTTGGTTTATAGTTTATATTCTGGTATGGAGTGTTCTATATTTTCTTTGTTGRATATTACAAGGAGAGAAATGAATGAGCAGAWAAGGTGTTTTATATAAAGTAATTGTTTAAAACTCTTTTTGGTATTTCAGTCTTATTTTGTGTAGGATTTGTACTGAAGTCTACACAAGTGAAAATTAATGGAAACTCCAAAAAAATTCCAAAAAAATTCCAAAAAATGCACGATTTGGGCGGAGATGGGAAAAAGTTAATCTTGCCGGTATTGATATTTCTTTCCGTTTCACGAAGTCTTGCGGTACCAGACTACGAACCTATAAGGGCCTAAAATAATATCGTGGAAGTGCCGAAACCATACTCGAACTTCACAACATAAATCTGAACAGAAATACCCTCGGATTGACAATGACAGTTTCAATCGTTGATATTTTGTCGAACCGAGGTTTCACTTAACTTTGTAGATGCCATGGGCCTTTTTTCATGATTGAATTTTTGTTTTGGGTCTGATTGATAGTTAAATTGTCATGAAAAAAAATCATACTTTATCATCGCGTATCGAGAACAAGAGAGAATGGAAACTGTTAAGATTCTATTTATAGCTATGTCTTCATTTGATGTTCATTTGATGTTCGCATGAAAATGTCAATTTGTTTGATAACGTAAAACTCTGTTGGTCCTTTTCAAGGTCTTGTGAAGGCTATATTGAACAAAAAAAAAGAGAGTCGTCGTCAGTCGCCTTAAACATTCTCATAAGCTTCCTATGTAAAAATGCATTATTCTGTATCGACTGATGTATCAGCCATAAAACAGTCTTTGTTGAGAGTGATTCCTTTGTTCAAACCATCCCGAACCAGTCAAAGAAAGGACCAAGTTGCGACATAGAACTCAATCGAATGACAACAGTCATATATAAATTTGCGCAAAAGACCAACACCATCTACCCTGCGCTCTCTCTAGTAATCAGAGAGCCATTCGCCGTTGCGCCGTCATAGATATCTAAAATTCACTTTTCAGTGAATTTAAGTTCGTAATGTTCCTTCCCCCTGAAGAGGAGCCTGTTTCCGTGCTGAAAGCTCTCAGTGCGAAGAGCGAGACTCCTGTCGCGAATAGTGCCAATAATACAAGTAAAGGTATAGAACAGGCACAAAACTCAACCGCAGAGACTAATACGATTGCTAAAGGACATCAAGTTATCGGTCCCGTTTCTCGTAGATCTTTGTTCAAAAAGAATCTCTACAAGGATTACAGTGAGAAGAGCTTTCGATCATTGAATTTAGCTCGAACCAGCACAAGTGGCACAGAAGTAGAGTGTGAAAATCTCCGCACAAGAAACATCGTGAATCGAGCCTTGGCGGTAATGACCAAATCATTGGAGGACAGGGACTGTTTGCCTCAGAGTCAGGGCGAGGTGAAAGTTGATACAGAGAGCGATACTAGCAAAGAATTTGAGTCAAGTGATAACAGTTTGAGTCCTAGTATTAGTGAAAACGATAACGAAAGCAACAGTGACGAAGAAGGATCCATCAGAGATCCCAAGTCTATTGGTGATGGTGGCACTCTTACAGCTCAAACATCGTTTCGAAAGATTGCTAAGAAACGCCGCAAGGCTAGAGGGCAAAGCAGTTTCCATCACACGAAGAGCAGCAAGGAATATCTTCGAAAGGCACAAGAGGCCTATCAGAAGTTGAAAATCAGTGAGCAATCTGCGGATGCTTCTACGAATACAGAAAAGGAGTCAAATGACGTAGATTACGGGTACGGAGACGCTGTGGAGAGTCAGCCAAAGGCCGCGGTCAATTACGGGTACGGAGACCCGTCCAAAAGCGAATCAGGAGAGGCTGTTGACTTTGGTTATGGAGATCCTACGAAGAGTCAAGTGCAAGAACCTGTTGATTACGGGTACGAAGATCCAGAAGCTGGTCAACCACATCTGCCACGAAGAGGAAGGCGAGCACGCCGTCGAAACAGTGTGACCAAATTCTCTGTTCAAGCAGCAAGTGTTGTGGCGGCGAAAGCTGCTGCGGAACGCATTCTACAACTCAAACCGAGTCTAACTTCGTTAACGAGAGGGCGATCAAAGACACCAACGAAACTGAGACGACAGTTGGATCACCAAGTGGAACCGGCGAATGCACAACAGCCTCAAAAAGAGTGCCGTGTACGCCGAGCACTTCCTCAGCGGTCGTCCCGGAATGCTCTCGATGTATTTGGTGATAGTTATGCTACCAAATATTCTTCTAAACATCAAGAAGTAAAAGAACCGAAGGAATCACAACACAAGGAAAGTCCCACTTTGCGTCGATCTATTCAAATCACAGAGAACCCCCATTTGAAGTTGACATCTAATTACTTTTCTCCGGATCCAAAGCCAAGGAGCCTCTTTTGCAAGAACTCGGGCATATCAAAAAACTTGTCGTTGCGATTCAAGGCCCCTTTGAGAACAGATTCGTGGCTTTCCCATGATACTAACACCGACGATGACGATGCTGATTCATTAGCTTCCGATATGGAATCTTTATGTACCTTTCGAAACAATAGTTTTCGATTGGATGCGAGCCACAGTTTCAACAGGAACGCAGATTTACCGCCCGTCCCACCCCCACCTCCTCAGGCGTCACCTCTCACTCAAGCATCACCGTCATTGACGCCAGCTCCGGGCAATAAGTCGAGGTTGACGTCACTAGATCATCTGGCAAACTTTTCTACAGGAAGGAGCGGCAGTGCGGAATCTAAGAGACGCAATTCTCTAGTTGTAACCTGGAGCGATGGCTCTGGAAAAGGTGCATCGAAAGATAACGTTCATAATACCACTCGCGAAAGGCTGATAGGTGACGGGAACAAAATTCCAATTTTGCCCTTTGCAGGAACTACGACCACATCAAATAATACGTCGATATCGAAGTCTTGTATGCCGGCACCTGTGATAAGGACACCGTCGTTTAAGGGATCGCAATAGCGAGAAAGTTAGGTAATACATTTTTGATTTGCTAATAATAAATTATTCTCAATTATTCATCCATTTTGACCTAAATACTATTCAACGACGTTCAGTTCCAAAGTTAAATTCAAATCCAAAATTCTCTCGTCATCACGCGATAAAGGAGGCAAGCATTTGGTGTGATTCAGTGGTCTTTACTTTGAAAAGGCATAGCACTTGTGTCCTAACATACTTTACAAGAAGAAGGATAGCTTGGATGTTTTGTGCTTGCAATCTTAATCTGCTTACTCCCTTAGTATTCTTGGCTTGAGAAACCATTGCCTCTCTAGAAGAACAAAACTGGCAGCAACAAATCTACAAAAAGAAATGTGTGAATAAACATCTTCAAGAATTTTTGGAAGACCTACTGCTGCTACTTACAGTACCTACTGAGTTCATTTTCAACTTGAAATTGAAGTTGGGAATATGGGAGTAGCAAGCTGCAGGGACATTACGAAACGGCACATAGTATAGTACTCAAGGCTACTAGATCTATGTGACCATTAGTAGTAGTTAAGGCATACCACCACCAGCATGCACAGTCAAAAAAAAACATATGTAAGAGTACAACAAAAAATGAAACATACCACTACCAGTGTAACATGTTACTACTACAACAAGTACAGCGTCAGAATTTTCCTCCTAATTGATTTTTCTTTTTTTGACCATTCCACCTATCCAATAGAAAAGTCCTTCTTGAAGGACATTTTCTGGATGCAGTTTACGAGGGTCTCTTGTCCATTAGCTATGAGGGTCTTCACAAACAAGTTGATAAAGGGAATTCAGACCCAAACACTGGTGTACTAGTAGCAGCAGCTTATGCCAGTGGGATGTCTACAGGCATAGATGGCTGTATCCAATTCAATGTTGGTGGTTGGTACACAAAATACAGTTTGGACAAAATTATTCATTCTTGCTTCAAATTTGTGCACTCTTTTCTGGTTGTTTATGCCATTTCTACAAGTCACAGTCCCCTTGCAGGCCTCCCACTGTCACTTCTCCACAACAGGAGGTTGAGTTAGCTGTATGTATTTCTTACCAGTAGAAAATACTGAAGAAAAGACATCGCCATGTCTACCGCGCCTAAAGCAAAATTTTAAATTTTTGCAATTCAAAACCCAAACCAGAACATCAAAAATTTCATACCTCAACAGCTGACAATAGTACTGGTCAAAACACCTACTACTACAAGTGGTAATAGTAGTAAAGAAGTAGCTAGTAGTAGTAGGGAGAGCATCAGAAAATCTGTACCAGAGCCCTAATACAATCTGCAATCAAATAGCAATATAGATCCACATTGTCCCAATGTCACCAACAGACATTGCCAACAAACAGATCAACAAAGATGTTTCTGTCAACAAATTCAGGCCAATTAGTGTCAAAACTGTACTGCATTTGCACCTGAATTACCCAAAATCAGTATTTGGGTCTTCTCTTCACAAAATACAGGTTCTATTGCAATCAACATAGTCCCACATTGGTCCAAGGCTGAGAATAGATTTTCAATAGTAGCAGGCCTTCAAAGTTATCCATTGATTGCTCACACAAAAATAATATATATTTTTGCAGCTGTACCACTTAGTATAATCTGTACTTGGGTAGACTGCACTAGTAGTAATAGGTAGGAAATGTAGTAGCAGTATTTGTACCAGAATTTAAGATATGTATCACGTTACATTCTTTTCAGAATCCCCTTTGCACAAAAAGGGGGATTTTCAACACAAATCTTTGTTGTTTTTATTGTTGCTGCTGGTCACCTATCTTCACTGGGAGATGTGATCACCACCAAAAAAATATTCCAAAAAATTGAATTGACACAAGTTACTGGAATAAATCCCAGTAGACTGATTATAACTCCAAGTTTCAGAGTGCAGAAAGAAAAGAAAATCTGCTAGGGTAGTAATGAGAGAGGTGCAATACTTTTTCAGTTGTTGTTGGAGAAATCTGAGGGGAAATACTACTAGATTTGTAGGGAACATCCAAGAGGATCGTCCTAATGCTTCTGTCAGCTGGAGAGCAATAAAGTACTGCTATGCCTGTCCTGGCTTAAAAAAACATGATGTTGCAGCCCCCAACCAATGCCAATATTTTTACTAGTAGTAGTAGACACCAAGGTTGCTTGTGGGACAGAGGGGAAAAAATTGGGACATGTCTTTCTCCTCCTTTTAGGCAGACCCAAAGACAACAGAAGCAGTAATTCCCATTCCAACTAGCAGGGCTGACCATGACAGGCACAAACAGTCCAATCTTATCATATCATAGTAGTCACATACAGGAGTACATACCACACCATACTACTAGTGCATCTATTTCTTAGTAGTAGTAGTACTACTACTACTACTAGTAGGGGGGGGGGGGGTACTATCTGCTGGTGGTGGCTGCTGGTGCTGTTAACTGCTGAATAGTAGGCTCCGACATGAGCTGGTGATCCCTGGTTAAAAAGTAGTAATTATTTTCTTGTACTAAAAGTACACAGAACTTTGCTGAAACTGAATTATTTTCAACTGTTACCATGAGTTTCATAACAATTGCACAGCATGGTCTCGCCCAGAGAGCAAAAAGTAATAATTTGAAGTTCTAAACTTTGATTTGAAGTTATGAACTTTTGCTTGTACATCATGTACCAGGTTCTACTGAGCTAATTTTTTAAAATGACTGAATGGCCAAATCACGATTCCCCTCAAAGCAAAAAAAATGGGTCAGGGCAATATAAAATGGTTTGAGGTGATTCAATCATGAATCAATCATGAATGCCATCCAAAAACTAGCTCAGTAGAACCTAGTAGACTTTCTAGGTGAAGTTCTTAACTTGTTCAAATCGAAGTTTAGAACTTCAAATTATTACTTTTTGCTCTCTGGGCGCTGCAAAAGACTATGTGCAATTGTTATGAAACTCGTAGTAGTGACATTTTCAACTGATAAGTGACATCTGCAATTGCTAAACCACTTAGCCACCATAATTAACGGGAATCATCCATTAGTAAATGGGCGATTCCCGTTAATCTAGATGGTCTACTTTTTGACAGACAGACAGACCAAAAATAGACTTTCTAGTCCGAATTTTTAGACTTTCTGTCAACGCACAATCCACCCTTGACAGAAAGTCTAAATCTAGACTGGAATCCAAGAATGAAAATCCGTCACATGACTCATAATTATCCATTAAAAATTCGTTGCGTGCCAAATTTAAGACTTAAATTTTTTTACTACGTAACTAAACCTTCTCTTAATCAGAAAGCGCCGGCACCATGGAAGGAAGAAGACATAAACACAGAATCAAAGATGTCGAGATTCCAAATTCCTTTAAGACCAGAACGAGCGCTTAAAAATGTCCGTTGGGCCCCTGTTTTTAATGATTCCCGTTAAACTAAAAAGTCTAAAAGGTCTACTTTAGATTTTTAGACCATCTAGATTAACGGGAATCGCCCAATGCTTCGCGAATTAAAAATTTGGATGAATGAATCGAGTCACGAACGTCACCGTCATATGTGACAATCATACCGGTACTAGTAATTCATTTCATTCGTTCGATCTCTGACACCAAGATCTTTCAAGAACTCTACCGGAGAACACCTATCGATGCTGCCACCAAACACAGCAAAATCACAGAGAATTGTATTATTATTAATATCGACTTCAATCATTTGACTTTGAAACCATACTCATATAAGATGAGGTTGATTGAGTCAATTGGATTTCAACTTCTTTCTGTCGTTTTGAGGTGCGGATTTCCTCTGGCTATTGATGCATTTGTTCTGATTACTCCCCCTTCATCAGTAGCGGATCCGAGAAGTAATGGTGGATGCATCAGAAAAGACCGACGATCAGAACACAGGAATGTCGTGAAAGCGACAATCGAGAACTCAGATGGCTCATTCGAAACACCCCCGCCTCGATGGAATTGTCCAATCCACGAGGATGTTTGTTCAGAGAGCGGTGTGACGTTGAGTAGATACATGAAAGAAATGGTCAGAGCGAATCCTGATTTGGAGGAGATCGAAAGCAGTACGTTGTGATGGATTCGACTTGTACTGTTTTCTATGTACTTGTTAGAAAAGTTGTTTGTAAGTCCTCAACCTCTGCTTCTTTGCCAATTTCCTCAAGTCTTCACTTCTCTTCAGGTGGCATGTAAAACATTGAGCAACTTGGTGAAAACAAGCGCAATTTCCGGTCTCACCGGGCTTGAAGATGGAGGTGGGTCCATCAATGTACAGGGGGAAGAGCAAAAAAAGCTCGATGTTATAGCAAATGATATTCTCAAACGCGCGCTCAGGTGGAGTGGCGAGCTAGCGACTATTGCTAGCGAAGAGGAAGACAAACCAGTCAATGTAATGGGCGATGCCATTTTCTCCGGTGATATTCTTGTCGAAAATAGTGGCAGATATGTCGCTGTGTTTGACCCCTTGGATGGATCGTCAAACGTTGATGCCGGCATACCTGTTGGCACAATTTTCGGCATTTTCGATTCAGCAGAGTGTTCTATTGAAGACATTGACTTGACCGACGGTATCGACAAAGCGGAAGAAAAATGTTTACAAGATACACTTCAGCCAGGATCTAATTTGGTCGCCGCAGGATACTGTCTCTACTCATCAGCGACTTCCTTTGTCTTCACATTAGGGAGTGGCGTATATGGCTTTACCTTGGACGAGTCTATCGGCGAATTTGTTTTAACTCATGCAGATATGAAGATTCCTACGAGAGGAAAGATATATTCTTTCAATGAAGCCAACCGCTGGGACTGGGATGCGCCTCTCCAAAAATATGTTACAGATATTCAAAAAGGTTTGGTAAGTTCAACTATTCACAGCTCATAGAAGAAAAATCATCCGCACATCACCACCACTGTGTTGCTTTAGCTTGCACTCGTTGAAGAGCCAAGAAACACATCGTTACATACGGTTGCTCGTTCAAAATTTCTTCCACAAACCATCTACCATCGTACTAACATTGCGGCTTTCGGTGCACTAACTTTTTGGGTAACAGGGGGACATGAAATGTCGCTACGCTAGCCGTTATATTGGTTCCATGGTTGGTGACGTTCACCGGACCTTACAATACGGAGGAATCTTTGGATATCCAGCAGATGTAAAAAATCCAGACGGCAAGCTTCGATTACTTTATGAGGCGGCACCGATGGCCTTTTTATTGGAACAGGTGAGAGCCAGTCGTTTTGCAACTACACCTGTTATTGAAATACTGGCACTAATTTTTTTTTGCAATAATGTATTAGGCGGGTGGTTTGGCTCTCACTGGAAAGAATAGAATAATGGATATTCCTCCCACTAGTGTCCACCAGCGTGTTCCATGCATACTAGGAAGTCGAGAGGATGTTCTAGAAATGAGGAGGTATTATGTGGAAAGCAATGATCCGGAATTGATCAACCGTTGTAAAGCACGATTGCAAGGCGCACGTGCACTGGAAGAGAACGAAGTCGAAGGGTCTTCATTTCTGGGAATTCACAACGAGGATAAGGATACAAATGCAGAAGAAGCAACAAGTGGGGAGTTTGGAGCAGCACAATAAGGGTGGAAATGATCTCGTTGGATGATGACGACGATACTCATCCTGTAGTCAGACAAAGGGATTGCGAATTCGAGGCATTGATTCATCACAATATACTTCGTATTAGAATCTCAAGCTACTTAGTCAAAAGAATTCTTGAAGGTATTTCAGTGTTGACTCTAGAATAAGACACTAGTATTAACTTGGATGTACCATACGGTGCAGTTCACACTATTGATCTTGCTAAACAGTTTCAGACAAATGAATGTTTCCCATCATTGATGGCAATGCCATCCTTAATTTCACCAGTTAAAGTTCTACATAGCTCTACATAGTAGCATTAGCTCCCCATTTTCAACATGGTTTCAAATATCTTGCCTGTTGAGAAAGAAGCAGAATTGGGTATGTGTCACCAGAATATTTGAACAAAAGTTCTGTAAATTTTACGTGCATGTTCTAGTACATCAATGATGGGCAGCAGCTGGTGTTCAAAAATACAACAAGCACCTATTTGAGAATACTGCTGGTGGAAGCAAGCTACACAAAACACAAATGCAGACTGTTTTAAAATACTACTGGTGGAAGCAAGCCAAATACAATGTATTCAAAAATACCACCAGCAGCTGTTCAAAATACAAGCAGCTATTTCAAACACTGGTGCTGGTGGAAGCAAATACAACCTGGTGATGTGTTCCAGAATACCACCACCAGCTGTTCAAAATGTACAAGCAGCTATTTGAAACACTACAGTTGGAAGCAATCACAACACGTTCACAAATATCACAAGTAGCTGTTTAAGCAGCTCTTTGAAAAAAATGCTGGTATCATTCAAAAATACTGGTAGCATCATTAAACCCGCCAGCTAATGCTGGTGGAAGCAATTGGAATGATGCATTTGAAAATACCACTAGCAGTAGCTGATCAAAATAATGCTTTGTGGAAGCCAGCAGAATGTGATGCCAGATGATGGGTGATCAGCCCAGTAGTTTTGGCTGGTAGGTGATTGACCCATCAGCTGGTGGGCTGGTGGGTCTTTCAATACAAAACGTTTTTTCTGATGCTGGGTCAGCTGATGGGTTCACCCATATATTTTTTGAGAACCCAACATCCCAGCAGTAGATACTAGTACTGGGCACACCCCATGACTCTACCAGCAATATTTTTGAACAGCTGCTTGAACAGCTGACAACGGTATTTACAAATTTGTCACATTCTGCTTACTTTGTACATTTAAGAATTAGTCCCTCATGCTGTTGGAGAACACCAACTTTGCTATGGCGAAAGCGATTTCTAAACAACATGAGAAGGGTTTTGACCCTCTAGGCAATCACTCAGCCAAGCTGAGTGCAGCTACTCTTTGCTAGTTGTTGGTAACACCACCAGAGATTAGATGAGTTAAATGGTCCACTAGTAAAAGATAAATTAAAAGTATGTGATGATGGTGTTAATAGTTGGTTGACAATTGCTCTGTTTTCCTCCTTCTTTGTAGTTTTGGCATTGTCAGGTGTTCAGTAATCCCTATCCCTAATGTGCAACTTTTGTTTCTTGTCATTTTTGTTACTATTTCTTCTCAGCAACAGACTTCTGTGGATTAAAAATTATCTTGCTATAATTTAATCCAAACTATTGTATCACATTCTCATAGTCCTTTTTGCATTGCTCAGTGTTGTTTGTGTCAATTCCCAGGATCTTGTTTGGAACTTATACTAGTACAACAGTCTTCCTTGTAGTAATGACTAGGTGAAGAAGTCAGCAATCATGTCCTCCTCACCAGTAGGACATTATTTCACCTCAATCTCCTTATCATTCATTATACTGTCGTCAGTTATACAGAAGTACTGGTCATGAATATATTTTGGCCCTTCATCCATTTGCAAAAACCATTGTCTTCGGTCTGTTGATTTTTGAATGGTGTAGTATTCTTGTTATTTTGATATTACAAAATATCTAAACCAGAGATGTTTGGATAGCTTTTCCCCTACTGATGACATCTCTGTTTCTGTTGAGCTGAGGAGGGTATTGATCATAATTTTGGTTGATGATTCACACAACAAGGCTCCTTCTTGTCCCATGGGGACGACATACATTCTCCCATGTCCTTTCATATTTGTGCGCGTGTATAGTAGTGTGTGCCTTGTCAATATATTTTGATGTCCCATTCCCATCAGCTTTCATGATTAATGAAGGTATGCTATCTTTTGTAAGTACACCAGTTGGTGTCTGAGTTTCTTATAATCCTGTTCATGTGGCCTCTTCACACCTAATGAAAAGGAATACTACTGTTCCTTGTTGCAGGTCTGGTCTTCCTCTTCTACTTAACCAAAAGGCCTGTGCTATCATAATTAATTGGAATAAATCTGCGTTCTCCCCATTTAGGAGTCTGGTTGGGTTATTTTGATCTATTTTGAACAGGTGGATAGGTGCTGCAGTTTCCTTGTGTCCTCTCATGTTGGGTGGTAGTTCATTGATCATCTTTTAGATATAATCATAAGTACTAGTAGTATTAATCCATATCTTGCTGTTGGTCTCAAAGTAAATGGTCATGCCAAGATACAGGTACCACTACTATATCTACCCCCCTATTACTACTGACTTTAGGTCTTGTTTTGCATATACTGACTCCAGTAGTAGCTTCATTCTCTCACCGACTTATTCAGAATCTTTGCGGCTCAATTTCATGTCATCAATATGGAATACCACAGTGAACTGACTCCTGTCCATCATTTCGTTCCAGAAACAAGGTTCATATGGATTCATCTCAAAGCCGCATTCTATTAGGTGTCCAATAGTTTTCTTGTACAATAGTAATGGTGCAGTTACAGTGCCACCATACATTGCTTTGTCACATCTCACATAGATAACTGGTTGTCCTTTTTTCCTTACAATTGTCCTTCTTCCATCATTTGACATCTATCTTTACTAGCAGGATTATCAGGGTTCCATCCAATTGTAGTAGTACTAGTAGCTCCCCTTCCATGTCTACTATTTGTAAGAAGTTTGCTGGTAGGTGCCATGCCTTGTTGTTCATGGGAATCTACTGTTATGAGTGTAAAGAATACTGCTTCAATGGCTATTGTTGGGGATGTCAATTCATATTTTGGTGTCCACCGACTTTGGGTTCTTCTGTCCCCTCCTGTTTGTCCTTTTACCATCATGGATCTGTCATACTTTAGGGTTACTAGGAATACTAGTAGGAGGATTAGTACATCAGCTAGCTTTTGGTCTTTCTCAGTTGAGTCTTTATCTTCTATTTAACTAAACACTTCACCATGTGTCAGCATCTGTCTCAGTACTTACATGACTGCACGCCTACTGTCCTCACCAAACTGCTTTAGCCCTGCTTTCAGGCTGTATTAGGTGGTGGTGAGTAGCATGTTGTTTACTGCTTGTTAGTAAAGGTAGGCTTCCATTCAATGTATTCAACAAGTACATTGATGTAGTTACAGGAACATTTCAAAAGTTTGGAATGTCTTTGAGTACATGTCATGGTACTAAAACACTTGTTACGCGCATCAATCTAAGAAAGCTTTGCAACCAGTCTTGACAACTACTACAAGGCTGAAGAATGCAACCTTGACCCAGATGAAAAAAATGTTTTTGTCTGTATTCAGACCAACAAGCTAGAATTAAAATAGAACACAATAATATTTGATTACTTTGCTTAAACATTTGAAGTACCTTCTTATAACTACTAGTAATCCCAGCACTACTATGTACATACTGATGCTTCCTTTGCATCTGATTTATCTACTAGTGCAAACTAGTACTAAGTTCTTTCCACTATGTAGAGCTCCCTTGCCAATAGTTGCTTATGATCTTCACCAGTAAGACCGTGATGTTTGTACAGATGCCTCCTTTGCATCAAATTCCTCAAGTGCAAACTAGTACTCAGTTCTTTCCACTATCCAGAGCCCAGAGTTCCCTTGCAAGTAGTTGCTTGGGATCTTCAGTTGTTTGGGATCTTCACAAGTATTACTTTGTTGGGAAACCTTGCAATTTCATTGGAAGAGCCTTTAGATTCTTTGAGACCTAACCCACTGAAACAACAAGGACAAGAAAAATTTGAAGGAAAAAATTATGATTGTGAACTTGTATCGAGGAAGACTGGTATTTTTCCTTGCACATACCCTACATACGAGAGGACCCCCCTTGCCTATACATAGTAAGAGGTGTGAACCTTGTACCAGTAAGTATTTACTCCTACACGTAGCGTAATACTGTTGTTTTTGGGCTGGGGGTGTAAATACTGCATTCCATCGAGTTTTTGATGTTTTGTGTTCTGAAAAACAGTTATCATGTACTTGTATCCAAATAACAAAATAAATAATATTACCAGTTATTATATCGCTGTTGCAAACTCATTTCGTTGCTTCGGCAGATGCAAAGTAGAAGCCAACCACCACGAAGGCACGGACGGATTCTTGGTGCTAGGCAAAAAAGTCGTCGCACAGCATGCACGTGTCGCTGTGCTCGATCAGGGCGTACTCAAACCCGTCCACCAGGGCGTTCAGGGAGGCAGACACGATGTTCGAATCGACGCTCACGGTGGTCCACTTCTGGTCGGTCTCCGCGTCCCGGAAGTCAATCAGGACCCGCGTGACGGCCTTGGTGGCCGCGTTTGGGTTCAGGATGCGCACCTTGTAGTCCGTTAGCTCAATGGACTCCAGCGAGGGGTGGGAAGGCGTCAGCGCCTTGAGCATGGCCTTTGCCAGGGCGTCCACGGGCCCCGCCCCGTCCGATACCTCGAGGTTCTCGACAAAGGACAACCCCGAGCCCTCCAGGTCCGGGTCGTCCGATACGGTGCGGACCTTTATCGTTGCCCGCGCCGTGGAGGAATCGGCGCGGGTCTTCATGAGACGGCTCGCGCTGTCCATGGTTTGGTCATAGCACTGGGCCGAATAATCCAGGACCTGAAAGGGCGGGCAGTACCCCTGGGTGCTGTACAAAATCATCAGGTGCACGGAAGCGTCCGCTCCCTCGAACTGGTAGCCCATGTTCTCGAGCTCCTTCACACGGTTCAGAACGGCCAGGGACCGGGCCGATTTCTGGCCCACGTCCATTTCGCTGCCAAACATGTCTTGCATCTTGCCCATGATGTTCTGCCGGCCGCTCAGCTCTGAAATCAGCACCCTCATCTCGTTGCCGACCGATTCTGGCTCCACGTGCTGGTACGACAGGGGGCTGCGTTCCATGGCAGCAACGTGCAAGCCTCCCTTGTGGGCAAAGGCCGACCTTCCTACGTACGGGGCTGCAGTGTTGGGGGTGCGGTTTAGCACCTCGTCCACGAACCGAGAGAGCTTCGTCAGCTCTGGAACCTTGTCCTTGCAGGTCATGTCCGTTTCGACGTGCAGGGCCAGGCTCGGAACGATGGAGCAGAGATCGGCGTTTCCGGTGCGCTCGCCGATTCCGTTGATCGTCCCCTGGATCAACCCGACGCCCGCATGGCACGAAGCAATGCTGTTGGCAACGGCCATGCCGGAATCATTGTGGCAATGGATGCCAATGGTGCAAAAGGGTTCGAAGTGCTTCACCATGGCGGTCGTCGTATCGGTGACTTCCCAGGGCATGCTTCCCCCGTTGGTGTCGCACATCACCAGGCACCTCGCTCCGGCATCCACTGCCGACTCGCAGCAGGCTATCGCGTACTCGGGATCGTCTTTGTATCCGTCGAAAAAATGTTCCAGGTCGACCAGGACCGTCTTTCCGAGATTCGTGAGGTACTCGACGGAATCGTAAATCATCTGTAGGTTTTCTTCCCGCGTCGCCCTCAGAATTTCGGTGACCTGCCAGGAATGGGCCTTCACCACCATGCAGACGGTGGAAACATCCGACTCCACCAGGGCTTGGATCTGTGGATCTTTTTCGACCGCCGTGTTCTTTCGACGACTCGAACCAAATGCAACAAGCTTTGATCGGGTATGTTCTGTAAGTTCGGCCTTTGCTCGTTTGAAGAATTCGAGATCTGTTTGCATTGCACCAAGCGTTAGAAAATCGTATTGCCGTGCGTCCCGTCCATCGGATCCAACAAAGCCTCGAAATTTCTGCGATTGGATTTCTTACCTTTTGGGTTGCTCCCCGGCCAGCCCGCTTCGATGTAGTCAACATCGAAGGCGGCGAGGCGGGTAGCTATCTTCAGTTTGTCGTCGCAAGAAGCAGATACAAGTTCTCCCTGGGTGCCATCTCGCAATGTCGTATCGAATATCAGGCAATTTTTGGGGCCCTGGACAAATTGTGACAGCTGGGACGCAGACGTCGAGGGCGACAAATGACCAGCCCCCTGCAGATCATCGGCATCGGACAACGAATCTGATATCCAGTCGTCTTTGGTTTCGACGGAGACGGGGTTGTTTTTCTTCTCTGCCTGTGAGTAGAGTCGCGACTGCGACGCCAAGGAATGCTGCATGAGATATCTTCCATTGTTGAAAGCGCGAGACGATGACAACAAGGTTGACAAGAGGAGAGTGGGAGTCTTCATTTTTGAGATTCCGGTACGGTATGTATCCAAACAAAATGGACAGTTACATTCGTGAGCCTAGCAAATTTGGCTTTGTCTGTGGGGTATTGTTTGTCTCTTAGTAACAGAAACAAAAGTTATTGCTATTACTGTATTAATTTTTCGTAGTAGTATTTATTTTTTCGTGTTGATGGATTGATGGATGATGATTGCCATCGGAATACAAATCGGATACTAGTATCGTGTGGATGTTTGTGGCCTGGGCGTGTCTGCGACAGATGAACATTCAAGTTCATCTGTTTGAACTGCTTGGAGGCCTAAAAAGGATTCCGTCCATCGTGATTGGCGCGTCACTTTTCGCCATGTTCTTCCGGAATCATGAGAATGGAATACTGAATACGGATGGACGGACAGATGGTCTGGGATTTGCCAGACGCGTGAAGTACGTACGGTATTACCGTACGTACGAGTGTGTACTTGATGGTACGAGTATTCTTCTGAAAATCTATCAGAAACATGAATAAACAATACGTACTGTAAACAATAATGGGTCATTCCCGTTAATCTACCGGTCCCACCACCGGAATTGATCGGCTTGGACGGACGGGGCTCGATGCGATGCGATGGGATGCCAAACCAAAAAAAATTAACACCGAGAAATAAATTCCTGCTCCTTCTTCGTGTTCCGTGGTCTTGCCCTCTCGAAAACTTGCTTTTGAAAATTCTGCGAGGAACACAGAACAAAATCTCGTACCGTAGAACACTTCGAAACTTGTCGGTAGTAGTAGTACTCGTACGTACCTGGTAGAGCAGCCTATTGCCGTAGCGTATTTACCGTACGTAATACGTACGTACCGTACGGATCGATCTCCCTCGGATCATCTCGTGAGTTTGTACTGTACCGTAGGTACCTACCAGGTACTGTACTCACATGGCAGTGTACCGTATGTGTTGTGTGTGTCACTGTTTTCTGTTACCTCGCCGCCTTCGAAAACGAGAATGCTTCTTGCCTTTCATTCCCAACAGGAACCAAATCTCCTTGGGCAAGAACTACCCCAAAGACAGCACAGAACAGCACAGCACAGAACAGAACAGAACAGAACAGAACAGCACAGCACAACACGAAAGGCTATTGAACGAAAAGAACGAAGAAGAAGAGAAGGAGGAAGGAACCGTGGCGGAGACGCAGAACAAGACCACACCACCCGGCCACCGACACCGACAAGACCCCGATCCGATCCGATCCGATCCGATCCGATCCGATCTTAGCCTGTTCCTCCCGGCACTTGGTACCGCAGCGATCGCGTGCCGGGACCCGAGCGCTCGACCGAAGGATGCAGGAGGTGCTCGGGGCCGATCGCTTTCCCGGGGGGGACACCGTAGATCCCGTGAACATCAACGGCAACGACAGTAACGACATCAACATCAACGACAGTAACGACAACGACGACGGACACGCCCCCCCCGCCGAGGAAGGCGCCGACTATTTCCGGGAGGCCGATCCGCCGCGCCCCTTCCCGGAATCCGGATCGGCTGGGGCGGCAACAAGGGAATCGCAACCTTCCACGGCCGTCTCGTACCCGAACCTTCTGTCCCCCTTTTCCGGGAGCGTCGGGGTCGGGGTCTTTCGGATCTCCCGGTGGTACTGCCTGCTTTCGGTCCTGTCGGCGTTCCTCGCCGTGGTGGCGGCGCCGTCTCCGATCGATCGCCTCGGGCACCTTGTGGCGTCGGGCGCACACCGAGCCCGGGCCGCGGAAGACCGCAACAACAACCACAACAGCAACAACCACAACCACAACAGCAACCACAACTACCACCTCCAGGTCCCGTCCACCCAGGCCTCGGTGGGGACAGCGATCGGTGTCGACGAGCTCGTGGCCCGCGCCGCGTTTCTGGGCATTGCTGCCTCGCGGCACACCGACCAACGGCAGGGGTCGTTGTCGCCGCCGCATCCCGGCGGTGCGGATGCCGAGGGAGGCCGGGAACCCCGGAAAGGCCGCCGCCGCCGGCCCGCCACCGAGCGACACGGAAGCGACCCCGAAGCCCGCAAGCGGGGCGGCGACGCGGGATGCATGTCCCGGTCCGAAGCCAAAGCCCGAGACCAAGACGAACCGGGCACCGTGGAGAGAACCGACACGAACGAGAACGAGAACGAGAACAAGAACGAGAACACGTACAAGAACAAGTACAAGTACAAGAACAGCCACACCAAAAACGATATTCGACGGCTGCCGCTGTCTTGGCTAAAGTACTGGGCCGAACAGACTGCCGAGCACGCCGGTGAGATCGAGAGCGCTCGCAACCAAAAACAGAATCCAAAGATCCCTGCCGAGCGCAGTGTCTGGTGGAGGGGGCCGTTCCAAAAGAGCAAGAATGCTAGAGACGACAAGGCCGCGGGAAACAACGATGCTGCAATCGATGGTTCTTGCAGCAGCGATGGCAATGGCAATGGCAATGGCAATGGCAATAGCAATGGCAATGGAAAGGGTTCCTCCTCCTCTTCCACTGCCCCGCAGGACGACAAGGTCGGAAGCAAAGCCAGCAGGGAATGGCAATGGATCGATCCCATCTTTTGGACGCACGACTCCCTTCCGGGCTTGGTGACGAGCATCATCGACAAAATACTAAAGTCTACCCCTCGATTGTGCGTCGTCACCAACTTCATGCTGACCATGACCTACCTGCTCCACTCGGCCGTGGCCGCCTGGTTTCTCTCGCACTCGGCCTTCCCGGGCGGCATCGGCCAAAGCGGAACCGCGCAACGGCAGCAGGGATCACCGCCCGACGAAAACCCCCCGGTCCTGGTCACGGACTGGTCCTTTGCAAACTCCTCGGCTGCCACCGGGGCAAGAGAGCGGATGGGGGGCTTTCTGGTCTTCAAGCTCCTCCTGATATCCGCCGTGGTGGCCCCCGACACGCTCGACCTGCTCATCCTACTCACCTGGTTCACCCTCCTGGGCTGCCTCCGGAGCCTGGACCACCTCGCCCATTCCACCAACACACACCTGGTCGGGAGGGGCTTGCCCCCGGACAAGGGCGTCGTCCGCCTGCTCGCCTGGGTCCTGGCCTGCGACGCCCTGGCGGCCGGATCGTGCGTTGCCCTCTTCCACACGGCGGGGCCTGGAATGGTCCTCCTGCTCACCTGCGACTGCGCCCTCCTGGGGGCCGACGCGGCGGGCCACGTCCTAGGCTACTACAAGAGCCTCCTGGATCACAAGCACGGCGAGGCCGTCCGGGGGCTGGAGGAACGCCAGCTGGCGCTCCACCAAACCCCCGACAACCACCACAACGACAACGACAGCAACCACAACGACAGCAACAACAACAACAACAACAACAACAACAACGGGAACGAAAGCTCCGCCGGCGAACAAGAGAGGGATGCGCAGGAAGAGCCTTCGAGGCGGCTCGAAGTGCGACAGGCATCCGAACGCCTGGACCGCGAAATGGAACGCCTGGAGGTCGCCCACAACCGGCGAGTGGCGATTCTGGACCGGGGGGTCTTTGCGCTGGAGATGGCCTGCCACGTCCTCACCGTGGCCCATTTCTGCCACATCTGGAGCCTCAACGGCGTCCAGTTTACCCTCATCGACGGCGTCCTCGCCCTCCACCTGCACTCGGCCATCTCGTCGGCCTGCACCAAGCTGGCCCGCCGTCGGAACGTCCACAACATCGCCCGGGACCTCCAGGGGAGGTTTCCGAACGCCACCGACGAGGAGCTGGACAAGGCATCGGCGGCCGGCGACGTCTGCTGCATCTGCCTCGGATCGATGACGACCGGGGGGAGCGTGAAGAAGCTCCGCTGCGGCCACCTCTACCACACGCACTGCCTCAGGGAGGTCATCGAGCGCGCACAGAACCTGCGGTCGGCCCGGTGCCCCCTCTGCCGGGAGCCCCTGCTGGACCGGCCCCAGCCTCCGCAGGGGGATCCCCCGCCGGCCGACGCCGAGACGGACAACGCCAGAGCCACGGTCACGGCCAATCCCGAACCCCCCAGGGCCGGGGGTGCCGACCCGGCAAGGAGGCCCGCCGCCGAGGCGGGAGGAGGGGGCGGGGACCCGGCCCGGGGGGAAGGCGAGCGGGCCTTGTTTCGGTTCTCGACCGAGGGCATCCTGCCGGTGTGGGTCCCCGTCCCCGCCTTTTCCTTCGAGGTGGTCCGGCGGCCCCCGAACGGGACCCAGGGAGCGGGGCCGCTTCGGAACGAACCCGCGGCAGCGGAGCCGCGCCCGCAAGCCCCCGGAACGGGGGCCGGCGATCTTGCGAACGCACTCGGGCGGCGGCAGCAACACGAACACGAACCGTCGTTTCTCCAGCGCGTCCTGGCGCTGGCGGGGCTCGTGCCAATGTCGCCGGAGGAGGAAGCCCGGGCGCTCGAGCAACTGGTAGACATGTTCCCACAATACGATCGCCAAGACTTGCTCGGGGAGCTGAGGGACAGAGGGTCCATCGAAGCCGTAACCGAATCGATCCTGATGGGGATCTTTCGGGGGGTTCCGCGGAGCTAGAAACTCGTCTTGGCAACCGTGCTCCGATTGCACCATCGCGGTCGCGTGCGAAAACAAAACGACACGAAACGATTCAAATTCTAGCATTTCTACAAGCACAGAGCGTTCCATTGCCTCCAACCAGTTGTTTGATTTTCCAACCAAAGCTGAAATCCGATCGATGTCGAAAGTGCAAAGACAAATCTACTCTACGGTACGGGATTTGGAGTGTCCGGCATATGTTCTGAGTGTCAGACTCTGCACCAAACTCACTTCTAAACCTGTAGGATTTTAGCGATAGATTTTCACTACCACCTCCGAGTTGAAGGATCCTTCTTAGGTACCATTTTATTCTGTCACAAGTGTGTTCGACTGTGGTGAATTCTTACAGAGAAAGCTGCTACGAATTATTTTTCTTTTTTCTCTCGAGACGTGCAAAATGGACGAAATAATAATATTCCATCGGGGGTAAGTCTGGTTCGCCTTCCCCTAGTACAGAATGGACTTCGCCCCCTCTGAACTAGGATCATTGTCAGAGCGACCCATACAGTAATTGCAATTTTTGGAAGTAGTAAAAGTACTAGAAATAGATACTTTTTTCCCGGAATCAGATGTTGGTCTTACAAGCAATAGTAAAAGATTGGTGATACGGTACGGAACGAGGTCGCACGATCAAGAGATGGTTGTACATGGAGCAGTGGCGGAATGCGTTTCAGGAAGTACTATACTCGTTACTTGGCTAATTGTGTAATTGTCCGCTTTTTAAAGCTGATGCAATTCAATCCTAGTATTCCATTCATTTGTTATTCCTGATCATATTCTTGATGTCATTGACTACATCTCGTGTTATGAAGCAATTTCTTTTTCTTGATCGTGATATCCTTCACTTTGAAACATACCTTGTTGTTTGGCATAACGTCGGTTTTGTCTCAGACGACATCCTATCTCTAAACCCTCATCACACTTGTTTCAGAGTTGCCACTCTGTGATTGAAAAATGATCTTGTCTTTCTTGATAACAATTGTGTTGACGTGTCTGTCCTCGGCACGAAGGGTATGTTTTTTGAAACCGACAGTGGATTCGCTGTTCAGAATGGCACCAGCAATATGGTACGCAGCATTTTCTAGCGCGGTGGGACCATCTCTGATGACTTCTTGTCCGAATCGTTCGGCCATGTCTACTATTCCTCTGAAATTCTGTGGATTGGATTGGTAGACCGAACCATCCTCCATTTGGAATAAAACAAACCACCAATCACACCCAGTGGTCAAAAATCCAGTGTTATATTCAACAGTTTCGTTCATCAAGATGGTTTCACCAGGCTGCAAAATACCTGTAAACTCCAAACGATTCTGGTAAACATTGCTGTACTTGTGAAGCACTTTGACAGAGCGGATACTTCGTCCCGTCTGATTTTCGATTTGTACTTGTGCGGTATTGTATGTGACGGACATGCTTTTGTGTTTCACTTTGGGCAGGGCGAAATTATGAGATTACAGTAACACAGCTCTTCCCTTTTCGTTCACCTGTACTAAGGGACATTTTCATTATTTGGTCGTACCGGTACCTACGAGTACCCGTGCAAGCCGTACGTACCTATTCCGGGAATCAATCAAATGTTGGTCGTACTCAGACGTACCAAGGTACTTTACCAGTACGTCGTCAGGCACGATTCAAGAGTGGTCGTACGGTACAGTATCGCACGATCAAGAATGGTCGTGTTCAAGTGCAATTTGTACATCTGCTCTTGAGTGTCTTCGGAGAGTGAAGTTGTTACTGGCTCACAATTTTCAAATTCAAACAAACGTCACGATGAGTGACTTGATATCAATAATTTCCGCCGTTGCGCAAAAGGGTCTAGTAACATATACTAGTATGAAAGATTTGGTAAAAGATGCCGTTAACGTTGACGTCAGACCTGAGGCGTCAAATAATGTTGTCAACGTTGCCTCAAACTGGGGTATCGTCCCTGTAGCTATTCTGTTGATTCTTCAACTGCCTGATCCGAGTGGCAACGTTCGATTGGTAGTGGAGTTTCTTAAAATGTTATTCCTTTTCATTCCGCTTCCCCTCCTACTCATGCATTTCTTGAATAAAGATTCTACGGATGAACGAGATGAGGGAAGGCATTCGTCCGAAACAGATTTACTACCCCCTACAAGTTTGATTATCCTGGGAAATCCTGGGGTCGGAAAATCCACACTTCTTAATGGAATTCTCGGAAGAGCGCATTTCACGTCTGGCGTCACTTTCGAAGGGACTCTGACGTTAACATCAATTACAGAACAAGACGTTCTTGGAAATAGACTGATTGATACTCCTGGCCTATCCGACCTTGCTACAAGGAAAAATGCGGCCAGGGAAATAACCAATGCAATCCGCGAAAACTCCAACAGTGGTCAGATGAAACTAGTGTTTGTTTTGACACTAGAGCAAGGACGAGTTCGCGCAACGGATTCCACAACAATCAAGCTGGTGCTCGACTTCTTGCCCAAAGGCACTCCGTACGGAATTGTGGTAAACCAGATCCCTTCCAACACTTGCAAAAAATTGTTTTCAAATCGTGAGAATCAACTGAAGCTGTTTACCATCCTCAATTATGGTCGCGAGAACAAAACACCACATATTTGTTTGGTTAGATACGATGATGAGCTATCAGGAGAGGATAATGCTGTTCCTTCATGTAACAACGAGCTCGTAAACTTTATCAATCATAGTATCCCATACGTAAACGCTTTCGAAATTGGCGATGATGCTGGCGTGCAGGCTACGGAGTGGGGCCAGGTAAAAGAAGAATTGGAAGCATACATTTCGGAACTCAGAAGAGACGCAGATTTGATGAAGCAAGAAAAGGAGAAATTCGAAAAACTTTATAAACAAGAGTTGGGCATTGAAACCAAATGGACAGCAGGTACTGTAATGTGGTTGGCATATGGAACAATCTTGATTGCATGTGAAATTGCTGTGACATTTCTTCTCTAGTGGCTTGAAAAAATCCTGGATGGATGTGGAACGGGCATTGGGTGTCCAAAGGTACATCATATGCTGGGTTGGCGCCCGGCCCGTAAATAATATATTTGTTTCCTGTATGGTATGACATGAAATGGCATCTACATAGCCAAAAGAAATGTTATGATGACCTTTGATGCTAAAAAAGGAAGAGATTTATTCCTTCTGAAGATGTTTGAAGAGAATTCGCAAGAAAGGAGAAAGTTGATCGATCAAAACATTGTCATCAAGATCAAGAAGTATTAATTTGTAGTAAAGCAGAACATAATGCAAACAACAGGTTTTCACAATAGTCTTCTCGTTGGGCATGCAGTTCTCCCAATGAGAGTTTAGATTGCAGTCGATCAATGAACACATGGTGTAATCGATGCCTTCGCTATTTCTACCCGTAGCGATTTGCACCGGTTGGCTACATTAAATGCAGAATAGTTGAAATGTATTGTTTTACTGTAATATACTTCCTCAGTTCCAAAAAATGTGCCATCGTTTTCCTTGTTTGGTGTTCTCAAATGAGTGTTTGCGTTAGATACGGTGCCATAATGCTGGCCAGAATTGTCGCTGTCATTGATTCTCTAGTTTGTGGTATGTTTTATATTGTTCCCATGGTCTTAGTTTTCGGTAGTCGCCGCCGTAATGTTCAACTCCTCCTTTGCGGTTGCTGGTTTGGATTCGAGTAGTTTCCCTTGACTCTCGCCCTGTTTCCCATCTCCAACAACATGGTCTAGAAACGGAAGTACAACGTTCCGTCCGACGTTCTTCAGGAAGTGCCTCGTTCCCGTTGGCGAAGACGGCATATCGTGCTCGTTCCCACTGTACATATTCTCGATGTTGGCGTCGATGTTTGCCTGCGACCAGCAGTCGACAACATTGGTGGCTTCGTCGGAAGGCTCGGTCTCATCGCCAGAAACGATCGGCATTCCGGTTTGATGGTGGCCGATCACGGTCAAGAAACTGTCCCTCAACACAACTTTTTCAGATTCGGTTGGGTTTTCGTCTTTGCAGTCGTGTTCGCTCTCGCCGACGTTGTCGTCGCCCGGGCCGACACTTCCATCGGCGATGTTGCCATCGTCGTTGCTGCTGACGCTCTCCATTTGCTTCAACACCTCAGCCGAAACGGTTTTCTCTCCGTTCCCGACCGCATTCTGAAGTGCGTTTCGAGCGCTCCGCGCGACCCGTTTGGGTGCCTCGAATTCCGTTCCTAGGACAGATACACCACCCACGACAAGCACTTCTCCAAATGGTGGCGGAAAGGGAAGCGGAATCATGATCAATCCGAGACCCACTGATTACACCAAGATATGGACAGCCAACGGAGCATTATAGGCAAATACAAGTACAAGATGTCATTAGGGACCGTAGCATTGGTACGTTTTGCAAGACAAAGAAACCGTGCCCTTGTTCGCAATCAGGCATGAACGACGATAAAATTTCCACTTACGCATTGTGCCCCCCGCAACCCCGACCCCGGTACGCCTTGCCCTTCGCATCCACCGCTGGGCACGAGTAGGGGAACAGTGCTTTTGTGCGAGTTCCGGATTCAAGGCGAGTATGTTCACGGTGGACTCAGATTCTAGGATCATTGCAGCTGCCTCCTCCGCGGTCGTATCCGTGCAGGGTTTGTCGTTGATGGCCAGCACAAAGTCTCCCTGGCGTAGTGCCGAGTGTGCTAGATATCCATCGGGATTCACCGTTTTGATTTGCAATAATTTCGTGGTGGTAACTTCCATCGTTCCATTGGGATCCCTGCACAATGAATTCTGGGTTGTGTTGTGCTCCACGACCTGGAATTCGATGCCAATCGTTGTTTCGGGCAAGGGTTTTCGACAAAATGCTTGGATCATGGCGGGATTGCCTTGTGTCGCCGGAGTCTCTACGACCATGGTCACCCGTCCTTCCATTCCCATGAGGAGGAGCATGACGGTTCTGTAATCGGTAACTTCTTGGTTGTTGACCATTTTGAGAATGTCACCTTCGCGGAGAGGGGACTGGCTCAACAGATGCTTATCCCCTTCTTTTACCAGGGCATCCACCTTAACCATGTTTTTCTTACGGGGAACCTGTGCCAGCCCAAATCCGTAGGAATTTGACTCTGTTTTCGAGACAGTTACGCTGATTCTTCCGGCTCTAAGGGACCCAAGGTCCGGTTCGATCAACCTTTCCGGAATGGCTTCCTCGGCCTTTCTCTGCTGTTCCTGGGCTCGTCGCCGTTCCTCTTCGATTGCCTTCTTCCGAGCGGCATCTGCTTCATCCCTTTCACAACGCAGAGAAGTTCGGGCGGCGATGCGCTCGGCCCTTCGCTGGCGAAACCCGGAGAATGGACCTCTCGGGGGAGGGTTTGCATTTCCGGCAGCGTCGCTCTCGTCGTCGTCATTTGGTACCGAGCACGTTGAATCCGTCGAGAACGAGTCGTTGACTCCCACTTCGGTCACGGAGGGTTTGCTCACGGTGACCGCGGCCCCGTCACTGCTTATGGCAACGATTTCCATGGCTTGGTGTCCTAATGTTGTTTTTCTTTCGATGCACTCTTCGAACCATTCACGAAATCGTCCGCGTCCTTGACGTCGGAGGCAAAGAGAGAAAAAGGTGACCTCTCCTACGGTAGTACTCGTACTTAGTAAGTAGGAACTTAAACTCGTAGGTTTGCGACCAAAAGTAGCAACAGCATGTAGAGCTTGGATGCAATTTGTACGAGTTACCGGTAGCGCGAACTGACAACACGCCGAACCAGGGGATCTCAAAAATCGGAAAATATTGGCTAAACGATTTACATGCGCGCGCAGACCAGGACCATTTTAGGGGAACATGGGTCCATCATTTTTTGTCGGTATCATACGGTATCATACTTGTAGCACTGTACAATAGTAGTCAGATTGCAATAGTATGAGTACTGAGTATTGTACGGTACTGTGCTGTAGGATAATACAGTACTGTACCGGCCGGTAGTGTAGTCTATTGTAGTGTAGTGTAGTTTAGATTAATGTACTGTACGGTACGTCTACTGAGTGTTCGTACCTCACGTATGTAGTTGTTCGAGGTGTGATTGTAGCCTACGAACCTACCGGTACTGTACCGTACGTACCTGGTGTTGTACGGTACATGCGAAAATAATACTTCTAATACAGTAACCACGATTCAATAATGTTTCACCACCGGTACTGGTACGTACGTACTATACGTACCGTACGGTAGGACCTTGGACACTTGACACTTATGAGTAGAAAATACGAAGGACGGTTCGTACCGTACGTACGGTACTAACTTCAGTATTTTTGTCGTTGTAACTATCGCACAGATGTACGAGTATGATTGAATGGTTTCGTACATGAAAACCCTGGGGCAAGGGGCAACTAAGGTGCATTCTGCATCGACTACTCTACCGTTCCGTAGTTCAAATTGCAGCAACTAGCAGCTACGAATCGTGGCATCTCGACCATACCAGAGCTAAATACGGTCATGGCAAGAAAACGGAATCACAGCATGGCAAAAAACATCTATTACGCCAAAAACGTTCTTTGTGGTAGTATCTCGAGTAACCGATGGTGTTTCTTACTGGATGCACAAACGTTAAATGGATAATTTGTGGTATTTCTCTTATGGTCCCTAGTATTAAGCTGTATTTCAAATATTGTCTTCGTCCAGAGATGTTCTATTGAAGTCTAATTGTGAAAGATCTAATTCTCGCCACGAGAGATCACTCTTCTCTATCAGAATTGTCCCGGTATCTTCATTGATAAAGTCCCATACTTCCAGTGGCAGTGAAGCAAACGAAAATTTTCCCTTCCACCAAGAAGTATCCTCGTCGAAAAGTTCTGTCTCTAGGTACTCGACAAATGGCCCCATGAACGATTCGATGTCAATAGCCCATCGGCAATGAACGATGTGTGCGTTGGGGTAGCGCCGCATCAGATCCAAGGCCTTGTGAACCTTCATCCGTCCGGACTCTCCCCAAAACACAATGCTCGCATTGTCGTAGCATTTGGATGTTGCTCCAATAACATCTGGCAGGTAATCTGGATCACCAATATCCAATTCAATCTCCAGATTGGGATAATCGCTCATGAACATCTTCCATATCATTGCTTTTGTCAAAACGTGCTGAAGAGTTTCCATTCGTTTCTTCTCGAGCGTCTTTGTTACTCCATTGGCCGTCAGGTTGAGCATGAGTTTTTTAGACTTGGGAACGTCTGATAGTTTCTTGCTTTTGTGTTTGTAGTTTCCGTTCCATCGACGAGCCTGTTGTCGTTGTTGAAATAATGATGTACTTTTTCGTCTCGCATTGATCCAGGTTGCCTCAAATGCTTGTAACGATTGCTCTCTATCAACTTTACACCTGGCGGCATCTCTTTTCAGGGTAAACGACTCGACTACAAACAAACCATTTTTTGAGCAAAAACTTAAAACAGAGACGACAACCAACAATCCAGACCGGAATAGCGGTGCTTGTACGGACAAGGGTTTCATGCCAAGGTATCCTCTTTTTCGTAGTATTATTGATTGCCCTCGTAAAAGCGAGTTCTTAATATGGCTATCTTTCTTTTCGCTTTGGGCTTTTCGATTCTTCAAATACCGGTACCATATGTCTCAGATCATCTACCGGTAGGTAACGAAAACGACGAATGAAAATTGTGATGTTTTTTGAGACGATTTTGAGAAATATTTCTAGCTGTCGTGACGTGTGGTGCCTACTGGTGTTCGTGGTTCTTAGCCGTAAAAAAGGGGGATCGTATTTTTAGAGTGGTAGAGGGGATTCATTTTTTAGATGCCATAGGAGCAACCATGTCGATTTAAATTAATTGGGAAATAATTAGATTCCCAGGCCCCCTCCTGGTGCCGAAAATTGTGATTGGTTTTGATCCCAAAAAATGTGATCAGAAATAACAAATTTGAGGATGTATATCTGCATCGACGCTACCCTGCAAGCTCCCCTGACTCAGTCCCTCCACGACGCACCAGAGCAGTCTTGTTTGGTTGTCATCCAAAGCAAAGGGTGAAATTAAATAGGAGGAGAGCAAAAACAAAGAAGGCAAGAAGGCATCAAGAACCCAGAATGATTGTTTACAAAGGCCCAAAGAAGGCTTGTGCTTACAAGCACTGCATGCCACAGCACAAGCTTGCAATCGTAAAGGGCAACATGGAGATGAAGTGGTACCCAGCATCAAAGGCAAGAGAAGCAACAACAAATTGACCCAGGGATTGGATGGAAGATTCAAATTGTAATAGATCCCTCTGCACCTCGTCCCCCCAAAGCTCCTAACCCCCTCAACTGGAAATAATTGATGATCCTTCACCGAGGGTCCAATTCATATTGAATCAAGACTGGAAGTGGGTGGAGGATTGGGAATGGGACCAAAGCCAACACCACACAACAAAGAACTAAATGAGACCTGTGCTGGTTGTTTAAAGAAAGATCTTGCAAAGGCTATCTAGTTAGCTAGTAGATTCCTCACAAAGCCACTGCTGCCTCCAACTATGAGTGTTGGGGATAAATATGAGTGGTTCTTTGAGATATACATGACAGTAATGAAGACAGAAAACAATTGAACTGTAGTGCTATTTTCTGACACTAGTGGTACAAGAATTGAAGCAAATATTACTCTTACAGATACAGCAGTCATTGTGAGAGAAAGAAAGAGTATTTCTGTGGGATTCATCAGTTATTGGCTAGCAGTAATAATAAGCACAAGATATGTTGGCAAAAAGAAGATTGCATTCCCACCTTGCTCTGTGCTTTCAACATGTAGGATTCCAGCTGGGGTTGCAGCATCAAAAGCTACCAAAAATTCATTTTATTCCTACCATTTTGACTACTTTATTTCTTTGTCAATCACACGAGATTTTTGCTATTAGTACCTGCAGTGTTGTGAGTTGAGTCAGGTTGTTCCAATTTAAAGAATGCCATTCCGATGGAACAGGATGTATTAAAACAACGGTTTCGTCCCTTTCATGGAAAGATTTTAAAAACTGAAGTTCTAGCTGCTTCGTTAAGCACAACTCGGACACGAAAGGGTCGCTACAGAAAGCAAAAATGGCTGTAGATCTAGAAAATTTCAGATGCACATTCACAGCCTTCATTCCCCGATTGCTTGACTAGATAGTCTGAGCAATAGTTGCCGATATCCCAAGCATTGATGAAGGCATCATCATTGTATTTCGCCCAATCCGCGTGTAAATCATTCGAAATCTGCATCATAATGTCCATCACATCGTTCTGATTATTTTCTCGACACTTGATATAAGACTGTTTCGCCTGGTCTGCCATGTCGATGTGAACTTTTTGGGGGAACCACTCCACATCTAACCACCTGACGATGGAGTCGGCCATTAATTGTCCTTGCTTCTCGTGGTCGTCGCCCAGGCTTCCCAAATCGACGGTTTGGATCCCATTGCTTGATGCGTCGGAAAATAATGGATTCATGATTCCGACGCGAGCAGCATTTCGAATAGCTGGAGGTGACACCAAAGCCTGGCAACTCAAGAACCTGGTCACGAACAACAGAAATCCCAACAATATGTTCATCCATCGGTTTGGTAGAGTGTGCGCTTGATTGAAAGTCATCGTTTCATATATTTCTTTTGATGTTTTTTTAAGGTGCCTTATTCTGCCAACTGAGTCCTCTTCTATCAGTAATACAGTACTTTGTTTCAATCGTACGGTATATCAAAGTGAATAAAAGATTGTTAGCGATTAGTATGAAAGATCGTCATGGTCAGTTTCAGTGAGGTGGAATGTGAGAGGGCTTCTTCTTGATCACCGGGGATAGCAAGCTGTAGAACAACAATCTAGGTGATCAAAGAACGAGAAAATGATGACGCTGACGCCAAAAGCGACTGACCGCTATTATGGTATGGTAATACTCGTAAGCTACGGTACTGGTGAGTAACGTTTCGTAGATACTGTACTGTACAGTATCAGACGTATCCCCGTTTCCTACGAGGCCTTTTGAGTACCGTCGTACACTAGTAGTTAATCTACCTTGAACAGTTACAGTAATGTAAGTATGTTTGATGGCACTGTACCAGGTACTTACAGAACAGAGCTAGCGTACGTACGTACGTACTTACTTCTTTGTTTTGGTCATACTACGGTAGATTTAGAGACCAATGCTTCTTTACAGTAGAGATACGGTAGGAAATGCAAGATTCTGCCAAGCGCCATCTATTAGCATTAAAAACCAGCCCGCGATTAGAGAGAAAGTACAGTACCTATCATTGATATTAGTAACGTTAAATAATTTCAAAAATTTAGTCGGGGTGTCACAGAACAAAACCCGAAAGCGGCGTGGATAATCCAAATCCATTTCCCAGTCCCGCATCGCCACTACCGTGCATACAGGAAGCACTTCGGATCTGACACTACTGATGCGTTTTCAGCAGACGAAATCACTCCTTCTTGGACGAAAGCCAGAAGATCTGCGCGAAGCCATGACAGAACAAACTTGAGCGGATATCGGTCCTCGAATATTGATTCGTATAATACAACTTTGACCACCGCAGTTGCTCGTTTCGATCTGTTCGTCCGAGGCCGAAAAGTGACACGACACGATGGAACGAAAAGTGACACGACACGATGGAACCGTGCCATTCTCCGCGAAACAGCTCGGAGTCAAAAGGTCTGAAAGAGAAACGACTGGGGAAGCGGAGAGCACGACGGAATACATGTTGAAAACCGAACGATCTCGGTTTGGACATTTTTTGCGGTGCAACACTCGACCTGCCAAAAAAAGAACGATCGAGACAAGAAAGCGAAAACAACACGACGAATACCAATGCCCAAGGGAAAAGTTGCCAAAACCTCTTCGTCGTCGGCCAAGCGCAAGAAGCCATCCAGGGAAAAAACATCGGGCGGGAACGCTGCTCAGACTGTTTTGAACGTTGTTGGTACAATTGCCAATCAATCTGGTTCCAACGCGACCCCCAGGGACAAGGTTGTTGCATACGCCAAGATTGAAGGAGTGATAGGAACATCTACCTTTGCAAATGCACTGACCAAGCTCCGAAAGCAAGAGCTGATCATTTTGTCGCCTAAAGTGATCACCATTACAGAGAAGGGCATGGATCAGGCGGACACAACCGAAATAAGCGGTGGTACTAACGAAGACTACCAGAAGAAGAGAATCGAACAGCTGAACCTCAGGCCTAAATCAATCCAACTCCTACAAGAACTTTCCGATGGAAAAGTCCATAACAAGAAGAAGGTAGCGGCAGCTATTGGATGCAAGATGAACTCGACGTGGGCCAATATGCTGACTTCGGTGAAGAAACTCCAGCTCGTCAAGTTTGATAGAGAGACGATCACACTCTCGGACGACATGTTTCCATTCGGACGTCCTGAATAGGACATCACGCTTCTACACAGCATGCGAATCATTGCGTGCTATGTTCCATATACTCTGGTTGATTCCTCGAGGCGAAGCAAATCCGAACTCCTGTCAACAAGAGGTCCCAACAGCGTAGTACAGGTATTACTTCGTACCCAATAGTACCGTAATGAATAAATAGCAGACTAACGCCAGCAACGGACGTCTAGCGTCTAGTACGGTACAATACTCCTACTCGGTACCGCACCAGTAGTTCAGCACTAATCGTTAATCGCACCTCCTCAGGTACTGTACAGTACCTGTTACAGTACTTCCTGTTTTCGGACTTGCAAATACTACTGTGCTGGTACAATCGGTATGCTTCGTACCGGCAGGTATGCAGGTATGGTACGATACAGTAATATACGAGTATGCTCGTTTGTTTTTCGCCGTTTTGGTTCGGAACATTAAATGAAGAAGAGAATGCCCCATTTGGCGCGGGAACCGTTCGAAAGATTATGAGTCCTTTACTACTGGCAAAAGTGAGTCTTACCTTCAATTTTGTTCCGTTGCGTTTAGTGGTCGTCGTTTTTTCGGTTCGTAGCGTACGAGCTGTATCCAGAATCTAACCGTACATACGGTACAGTACGGTACTCGTGCTGTAAGCACCGTATTAGTAGCGGGTTATTGAGAAATCGTTGTTGACAACAAAATAATGGATGCAGTTGCCATTTTGGGTAGAAAGCGACCCTTCCTCTATTTTCAAAGTTTAGTTTCCCGCAGTGATTTATGATCTGTAAACAACAACCAGAAGCAGGGGTACCAATCAAAAGCGTGGTTGAATTTGATTGATTGATTTGAGGAACGATCGAGAACGAGCTCATTCTTTGCATGCATTCCGTCCCCTCCTGACTCTGCTATATTTAGCCATTTGTCGAATCCATACGGTATTTATTGAGTCTGTCACTTGAGATTTTGCTTTGCTTCTTTCGCGATATACCATTACCATATCGACCTCTAGCGGATCTCAACGACCGTGTAAAGGAATCGAATCGAAACGAGTCGACAGGGATTGAGGAGTTTCGGGTTGGATTAGACCCGCATCCACCAGGGAACGGAAGATGGACGATACGAGAAAGAAGAGCGACGAGTCCCCCAACAATGGTACCAATGAAAACAATAACAGTGCCACTGGCAGCAGAGCAAGAACGAGACACAACCACGACGATCTTCCGCCATCTCCCACCAAAACACTGACCTCAGCAAAATCAGCATCGATAGGCACTGCCTCTCTTCGTTCATTAAAATCTCGGAGTGTGGCTTCGCCGTACATGAAATCGTGGGAATTATTGAACAAGAACACGCAGGAAGATGGCCCGTTTCACGACAATAAAGACGTTTGCAAGAAGATCCACCGAAACCAGACCCTCTCCTGGAAAAACAGGGAGAATCATCGCGGTGCTGCCCTCAAGCCAGCCAGCGACTCTCTTTTGACGACGATGAGGTCAGACTTTTCGTCTCCGCCACAACCGACTAATGGATTTCTTTCTACTGCAGCGTCATTAAAAACCACAGGAGCGGCGTCTGCTTCCGGAGTATCTTCTAAGACCTCATCGATTTACGGAACCGAGAACACCCGGCGAAGTCTAGAGGACGATGATCCCTCTGATTCCATGGCTAATATATTGGATCACCTGACGTTGTCGGGGGGGAACTCTTCGACACATGCGTCCGTTGATGCCTTCGATATGAGGATGGCTTCGGGAATGGGAAAAATGATTTGGCCCCCGGGGATGAAAAACACCTCCAGCCTGGATCGGTATAGCAACACCAGTCCGAATGCGTTCTCACCAAGAAACACATTCCATCTGCCCAATCACCAACGCTTTGCGTCATACAATGACACACGAACGGAATCGTATCTGGACCATGCTCCTACTTCAATGACTCGCAACTCTTCGCTGAGATTACAACCACACCAACGATCGCAGTCTTCGTCGTATTATCAGTTTCCCACACCGAATGAGTTTAGTCCCGGCGCCGGTGAGGACGAGCGGGATTCGAACCATTCCCACCAAGCACAAAGAAAGTCGGGGTCGAAAGCGAAACCAAAAAATGATGAGGATTACAATTACAACGACCATATTGTCAACGGTACGAGAAACATTGATTCCATTCTCAAAACGATCATCAATCACAGCGACGAAGACCAGAACGGGGACGACGATGACGATGACGACGACGACGGTGTTGTTCACCGCACACCACATGCCGCGGCTGCAACAAAACCAGACGACTTCATGCGGTCCGCAAAGAGCCGTCTGAAAGTTCTCATGTCGGCGCTCGTGGCGTCGGCGGTGTCGAGAACCGACGCCTACGAAATAAACGACACCCACGTGCGAAACCTCATGGACTCTTGCAAACAAGACCAGGAAACGCTGCAGGGAGAACTGCGAAAAGTATTGGAAGAAGACGCTGATGCCACGGGCCGCATACAAGAGCTCTTCGAACTCAACGAAGAGATTTTGGCAGCAATGGAAGCGGGAAAGGATGCGCTGCAGCGCGAGATGGAACGATCCAACCGGAAAAAGGCCGCGGAAGGCCTTACCATATCTCTATTGGAAGAGAACAGAGACGTCTTTAGTTTAATTTGCATGCTGCGAGCTTCGTATGAAAAACGAAAGCAGGCGGCTCTAGCCCTAATGAAATTTGCAAAGGACGACCAGGTACTGAGGGACGAGATCATATCGTCCGGGGGCATCCATTCCTTTCTGACGTTGTTTCAGCAGACCAGGGGCATGACCCGCGAGCTTAAAGTGGTCGCGAGCTTGGCTGTTGCGTATGTGCTGCCGTCATATGTTGTATCTTGTCAAACTACACCTTCAATCGGACTCAAACTCGTAAAATGCCTTCATTATCTGGCCACGTCAATATCGGTGTCTCCTAGCGGGCAAGTCATCACAAAAGAAGAGATGTGCAAGGCGGCTTCTGTTGGTGTGAATCTTTTGTGGGTGAATTCTATCCAGCCTTTAATTGCAATAGAGAAAGTAAAGAACGAGTTCAGCTCGTCCCCTCCGTCCCTTCGTCCCGGAAAATCAGTTCGCTACGGACGACTTCGATCCAGAACAGGGTGAGTTTGGTGGTAAAAAATGCCTATTTTGCTCGTGGCTGAGGCTTGTTCTCTCACTCACACACTTTTTCCTCGTTTCTGAACTGCATTGGCATACTGCACACAGTGGCGGGGKTTTTGATCAAGGGCACGAGTCGATACAAGTGCAAGAACTTACAGAGCTGGCCGTTACACTGATAGCTCACCTAGCCAAACTGACAGAATCAGGAGAAGTGAGAATCGATACTGGATACAACATTGTCGAGCAGGTGTGTGAGGTTGACGAAGCGAGGCCAATTGCAGTGCGTGAGGGCTTGCTTGCTATATTTGTGGAATGGATTCGATCGGGGGTAATCGATAAAGTGAGACCAGCCGCTTCGGCGTTGCGCTATCTAATTGCAATCCAGGACAAGTACATGGCAGGTTGGATTCATTCACAGGTCGTGAACGAAGGAGCCGTCAACGAGATTGTGAAACTTCTAAATGAATCCGTTGGCCAAGATGTTCGTCTTGCGGTCACAGAAATGCTGTCGTACCTTTGTGTCGCACCGCATACGAGGGCTGCGGTCGTTGACTCCAATGGAGTGAACTATCTTGTTTCTCTTCTATTTGAGCACTCTGCACCCGATATGGAAGACATAGTTTTGTTTGCATGTACTGCACTACTACAACTTGCCGCCGGTGCTATCACTGGAGCAAGCCCACAGTATAGTGACAACATATCGAAACACACGCATGTCGTCAAGTAAGTACAGATGAATTTCAATGTACTTGCATAGAAGTACACAAGTTTGGTGATTCTAACTCACCCTTAATCATCATCTTTCTATCGATATCATCAGTGACATCATAAATGGCTGTGCGCACGGATCATTTGTACAGATCGCTCTCGAACACGAGGGGAAACTCAGATCGATTTCTGTAGAAGCGTTGAGAGTTCTAAGCGAAGACACCGACTCATATCGTCAGACTCGATCACAGCTCTGCAGTGTAGGCGCCACGGAAACGCTTGGATTGACAATCAAAGAGAACGCATCAATCATCGAGCTTTTATCGAACTCTGATGGTTCGCACAGATACATAACAAATGCACCCATCGGAGACTTAGCGAATGAAGGTACGCAAGTAACAATGGTGAAAGACATTTATAGAGCTCTTCGTGCCTTGGCAAACATATTGGAGCCACAGAGAGAGTCGAAAAAATCAAAAAATATGTTACGAATGGATCCTGATATAAAACCTAATGAGCTTCTTGTGAAAGGTTGTCTTGACCTTGCATCGAGTGGTGGCCTTCCAGGGATCCTACAGGTATCCGCCTTGTCGATAACTCCCTCTTTTCTCGAGAACAGCAAAATGATTACACTCGATCGAATAGATCTTGTTGAAGAGTCTTGCCGGTTCCTAGCAAATTTATCTCCTCTGCTTTTGTCGGAAACTGCAGCACCGGGTGTGGCTAACTGGGCGATTGATGTCTTTGAAGCCTTAGACGGTATTCTCAATCGGACAAACGAAGGGGATGGCAATATCGTGTCAAATATTTTAACTGAGTTACAAATTGATGCTCTCTTGGGAATTGGGGCTCTCGCCGTCTATGAGCCACTCAAAATCAGAATTGTAAATCAAATGTTGCCGAAACTGCTGCTGTTCAAGAATATGGGAGAAGAGCGGATTGACATTGCAACAGCTGCGAATCAAGTATTGCTCTCGATGGGATTTATTGAAGACGAAATCACGGTTCAAGTAGCTGGTAACAACCCGCAGTTTCTCGTCGATTTGTTTTGTTTGCAGCGGGCCCTACTCCTACAAGCGATGGCGCGTGCTGAGATTCGGACAAAGGTTTTAGAGTTGTGGGAATTACCTCTCAGTGAGACGGATCGCAAATCTCAAACCCAATTAGAGTCATATAGTAGCGACGAAAGGAGCATGGATTCGCGAGATGATCCAGTTTCTAAGGATCTGTTTGAGAGTTTCACAAGCGACTATGATTCACGCGACGCAAGGGTCAAATTCCTTCGCCAATATCTTGACGTCTATGAATCTAGTAATAGACTAAGGAATTATGGCACACACAGTGCTGAGCAGACATCCGATGAGGGCAAAAATATGATGGCTTCCCACGTATTTCCCCTCAATGATGCCCGAGAAGAAAAGGATTGGGTTCTTAGTCATTATCATGCAATGGAGGCAAGCAACGAGTCGCAGAAGTTTAGCATTTCCGGAAATATTCCGCAACGCGTGGAAAAACTTCTTGATTCCTGCTTCCCATCAAAGATTCTGCGGAACTATATTGTACCTATCAACGATTTTCTCCCTTCGTCAAGCTTTAATTTTCGGGCCTTTATGATGCCAAAAAGAAGATATTTCTCTTTCAGGCGAGAGGGTGAGCTTTTGGCTCGTCTTCGTGACAAACATGGATCTGGAATTGATTCCAACGATGTTCACTGGACACTGGGATTCACAAACAGCACATTTGCTGGTGAATTTGTAGAATCTCTTGTTCAGACATTGTACAAGCACCCTATGATCACGGGGCTTTCTTTCGTTAGAAATTCGGAATGGATGGCGATGCGAGATGCTGAAAAACAAAAAGATGCAGACGACGGTGGCGGGCTACTCGCTAATCTTACTGGGTCTCTTCCGCCCTGGGTTTCGCATTTGACGTTTGACAACATGCTAAATGATCGTGATTTGAGGGCACTAGTTGCAATTCTAGATACGATTGGAAAATTATCATCAGGGCAAGAATTTGATGATGAGATATCACAAGTGTCAACGCAAGGAAATTTTATCTGCATGAGCATTCGGAATTCACTGCAAATAAAAAGTGACTCTTGGAAATCCTTCTTTCAGTTGCTGGGTGGAATGGGACACATACAACGGAATCCTATGTCAGCGCCACTATCGACCTTGAAAATTTTGGATCTTTCTGGTAATAACCTCGGGGATGAGGTAGCTGCCATGGTGCTCGAACTTGTTCATGATAAGTATTCTGGATGCAGTATAGAGCAGCTAGATTTGACAGGAAATCAAATTGGAGAAGGAACGAATGTCGCACGAGTTTTAAGGGCTTACACTGAATACTACCGATACAACCATAAAACGGGAGTGAAAATGATGCGTAACAGTTGGCAGTCGTCGTTACACACGCTGATTCTCGCCAATAACGATTTGTCCTCAGGACATGCTGTTCTGGAAATTTTTGCCCTCCTTAAACACGATGCTCTTTGTCTGCGATATTTGGATATTTCCGAGAATGGCCTAGAAAGCGACTCCTATCAGTTACTGGCATCGTGTCTTCTGAAGAATACATCACTACGACACTTGAATCTATCCGGCAATAGATTCAACACTACTCTCATTGATCTCCTTCTTGACGAACTCAATGGTAGAGATGCTGAAAGCAGCTTATTGTTCCTTCTCTTTCAGAATAATTGTCCACCGTTGACTTCGTATCAAAATGAAAAAATTGCTGATTTTCTACGGAAATCTCGGAAGAATGGTATTGAGAAGTATATGGCGGAAAGACAGAGGAAAGCAGTTGTCGGAACTGCTGAGACGCAGTTTGCCGCTGAAAGCAAAGGAGGAGACCATGATTTGATCKAGGAAGAAACGAAAACCGTACTTTCTAAAAGTTCTTACCCTGGAGCCCAAGAATCATCCCTAGGATCGAACGACCCGGGTGAGAATCAGATCACTGTGTTATTTTCTGCGCCTCTTGTGTTTGCTGATAGCGAAAATAAGTTACATCCGTTTGCCAAACTAGACTTTGGAATGGAGCGAGAGCTTTTGTGGCAGTGTATGAAAGAAGCCTCTCGAGACATCGACATGAGCTTTGATAATGCACATCATTTTCGCCTTCTAGCAACTTTGACCAGACGCTGCAGTGTTCTTCACTATTCAGGTCACGGTCATCAATCATTTTTGCCTTTCGAAGACGGAATGGGAGGTCCAAATTGGCTGAGTGTACAGGACATCAAGGAACTTATTTTACAGGACGGAGTTGTCCCCTTCAAATTTGTTTTTGTATCTGCATGCCATTCGGGATTGGCTGGTGAAACTTTTGCGTCAGCAGGAGTACCCCATGTTGTTTGTTGCAAGCAGGAATCCGAACTCAAGGATACAGCTGCACTCGCGTTCACAAGGTCATTCTATTTAGCTCTACTCGTGGGTCACACCGTGAAGGAATCTTTCGATCAAGGTTGCAAAGCTGTTCGAGCAACACCTAATTTATTGGATTCAGACGAAGAAATGAAGAAATTTGTACTGCTTCCTAAGGATGGAGACCACAATAAGCCAGTGTTCCGTGCAAAGTCAATAAGAGAATGGCCGAAACAGCCTCGAAGTCAGGGTTCGGTCACTTCTAGATCATCTCGTCGACGAGGTAGTCGTGGAAGCCATGGGAACGTAGGATTGGCGTTGGGAATCAAGAGCTCAGAATTGAGCGTTCGGAATATGATGCAAGAAGATCCTTCTCCAACCCCCCCACAATTCTTTTTGGGGAGAGAAATGGATTTATATTATGTCCTTTCGGCTCTACTCAAATTGAACAAACGACTAGTTTCTGTGTTGGGTGATACCGGTATCGGTAGATCGTCACTTGTTTGTGCTCTCTGTCATTACATCAATGAACGAGCAAGTACGATATCAGAGATTCAACAAATTTATTTCATTAAGCCCAAGCAAGGAGATAGAAATGTCTTGTGTCGCTCCCTGGTCCGTCAGCTTTTGGAAAAGCTGCAAGAAAATGGCAAACCTACAGACGAAGACATAGACACCGAAGCCATGCTCGAAGTCATATGCAAAACACTCAAGAACGACAAATGTTTGATTATTTTTGACCGCACAGAGCTTATCAAATCATCGGATGTTGAAAGCATGGAATTGCCTAAAATTCTGAGCACTATTTTGTACAACACAAAGCAGGTCAGGGTCGTCATCACTGCCCATGACTCCTTGGGACAACCCGCTATTGGTGGCCAGGTTGAGCATTCATACAGCTTGGGTCCACTCACTTTTTCGAACACCGTCAAACTGTTTGCAAAACTCTGCCCCCATTTGTATACACCTGGTGAGCGTGGCATGCTCGTCAAAGAGCTAGTACAGAACGACGAAGACCAAATGCATCTATTACCCAACGATCTGAAGCTGAAGAAACGCACTGCTAGTATTTTGTCAGCCATCGGAGATGGGATCCCAGCTAAGATCGAAAGGGCTGCGTACAGTATTTCCCGAGAAGATCTTAAAAATCTTGAACTTGCACACAGAATCTCAGAAAGTCGTACAGATGAGGACAACCAAGACTAGTGTTCCTGCACGCACTTAACTTACTCCTGTGCTCCGTAGGCTAGGATTTTCGTACTACAGTGCCCGGAAGAAACAATTGAAAGATGAAATATCCTAATCCACTATTACGATACTCACAAAAACTATTCCTTCGATGTTTTAAGCGATAGAAAATTAGTCATGCCTTCCTCTTAAAGAGGGCAACTTCTCTGCTCGTCGCTGTTCCTTCCAATTATCCCGATACCATGAGTTGGCAGCCTCGCTCTCGCCGTCGTCTTCGGGATTTCTGTCTCTGAAATCGCTGTTGTCTAGCGCTTCTATCTTGTCCGTCCAATGCTTTGCAGGAGGCAGGATGTATTTCTCCTCGAATTTATGACCGACTCTACGGGGGTACGTGAATACCATTGGATAGAGGTCAGGTTTATTGTACTTGTTGTCTTTCTTGCCATCGTGGATTCTATTCAGGACATTCTTCCGAGCCAAGTCGACCAAAAATCGAGCCTCGTAGATACTGAAATCGACCCCTTCTTGAGAATGGTCGATGGCCTCGTAGGGAATGGCTGTCCCGGGGTAGAGCCCGTACTCGTGGGAATTTTTCTCGGGATGGTATTGCACGCCGTATACGGGAGGAGGAAAAGGAGAAGGATTTGATAAATCCGTCGTATTTCTAGCTTCCATCGCTGGCTCGATGGTCGACACAAACGCTTTGCCCTTGTGATCGTAGTTGATGGACGTAATATCGAACCGTCGAGACAGCCCAGAATTGTTTCGGAATCGATCGGGTGAAATTCCGAGATGGTGATTGTTTAGGGTGACGTTGTACGTCGTTGCAATTTCATAAACGCTGTCAGGTTTGTAGAGTCCACTCTTTCGTACCTCGAGGAGAGGCCAACTGACATTCGTAGAATCGTACCCCTTTTCTAGTATGTTCCGATCATAGGCGCAACCACGATCCATTTCGCAATTTTTGCGACCGGAGCCAACAACATCAGCTGCGAGTTGAACAATGAATTCCATGCCGAGGCAGGTTCCCCACAATGGAATGCGGTCGCCTTGCCTTCCTTCCTTTTCGTCTGGATAGTAATATTTTTCGCTGTGGAGCAATTCCCATATAGTGATTGCCGACGATGGCAACGAACTCCCACCTCCTGGAAACAAAACCCCGTCGACCTGGCCGAGAATGTCCTCTACCAGGAACGGAGGAGCGTCGAAGGGGATCGGGATGCTCCTGGCCCCACCACTTTCGAGCCATCTCACGTAGGAAGCAGCGATGTAAGTATGGTTGTACCCGTTGTCTCCGGGGTCGTGATCACTTTCGTCGTCGTAGAAGGGTTGAGACAAGATCCCGAACACCAACGGTCGCGTAGGCGACGAAGCCGAAGAACGGGGCGACGCCTTGGACGAAGACTCTTCGGGATTATCGGCATGGATATGGCACGCCAGGGCAATCAGTCCACTGAAAACCAATGCTTCCTTAAATCGAATCGCAAGCATGGTTTGCTTTTAAGTTGTGCTGTGTGTCTTTTGCAGTTTGAAATTGTCCGAGGATGGGAGTTCGGAACTCATTTGATTCGATCTGAACGCATTCGCGAGAGGGTGCAGTTCGTACTCGTACCATCTTGAGTGATGATTCCCGTTACAGTAACTTTTTCCCGTCTCCGCCCAAATCGCTCATTTTTTGGAATTTTTTTGGAGTTTCCATGATTTTCACTTGTGTAGACTGCAGTACAAATCCTACACAAAATAAGACTGAAATACCAAAAAGAGTTTTAAACAATTACTTTATATAAAACACCTTTTCTGCTCAAAAAAAATTTGAAAGCTCCATATGATGAAGGTTCTAAGCCAGAGTGGATGCCTCAGACTTCAAAGAATGGAAAATATCACCCTTGCAAGAATTGCGGGATTTGTTTCTTCTGTGTGAACAAGAAGACCAGCACCATTCTTGCTCATGGAAAGGTAGTAATGTCAAAGCCACATAAAGAAAGATGCAGTGGCAAGTATGAAGGAGTAAAGAGGAACTATTGTGTTATCTGTGTAGAAGAAGCAAAGCATAGGTATCCTACTACTAACTCATCAGAGAAGAGATTGAGGAAGTTGCCAGCATGGATTAGTAGTATAAATGTCAAGGAATGCTGGTTGCAGAAGTTTCAATGTTGCTGTATGTAAAGAGCATTGGAGTAACTTCAAACATCAAGTGTAGTGATGTGTTATAAATGAATCTATTTATATTTGTTAAAATACATTCTTATAATATTGTTTATAATGATGAGAGGGGTGTGATAAGTGGAGTAGCAGTGTAGTAGTACTAGTAGTACTAGTAGCCAAAAAAAAAAAATCCTAAATTTTCCAGGTGGCAACATTTGGCAACACGCGACGGGAAAAAGTTAATAGAATGCTAAACCACTAGATTTAGCATTATTAGCATTTTACAGGGCCCTCCGTTAGTTTTTAAGGAAGACAGTCACCAACCAAGATCAGGGATTCCCATAGGTTTTTCAATGTTATAACAAAGAGAAACAAAGAGAGAATTGCCCAGGCAATATTCTCTTTGTTTCTCTTTGTTAATAATCGACGAATCAAAGAGAAACAAGGAGAAGCAATATTCTCTTTGTTTCTCTTTGTTTAAACATAAAGAAACAAAGATAATACTGCCTGKGCAATATTCTCTTTGTTTCTCCTTGTATGAACGGGAATTGCTCCCATCATTTCACTATGTAAAAATACAGAGAATAGTGCCCAGGTTAAATTTACTCTGCTTAAACAAAGAAGAGAAACAATGAGAAAATATCCCAGGCAATATTCTCGTTGTTTCTCCTTATTTAAACAATGTGAAACAAAGAGAAACAAGGAGAGCCAATGTTCTCTTAGTTTCTCTTTGTTACAACAACGAGAAACAATGAGAATATTGCCCTTTCTACCAAAGAGAAGTATTCTCTTTGTTTCTCCTTGTTTCGTGGGGTGTACGGGAAACTATTTAATTTTTTTGAAAATTCTAACTGAGGGCCCAGCAAGAGGAATCAAAATTTCAACAGACAGACTGAGAGGAATGCTGGCTCAATTGCAGTCTTTTTGGGAATTTGGGAATTTGGAATCTTACATAGTTCAATGTAAAGACTGAAAAGAGGGTACCAATTTGGCTGGCATTTTTGGTACAAGAAAAACACGAAAGTTTCAACATGGTGAAAGGAACACACATATTTCCGATACTTTCATGATAGTATTGAAAATTTGTGTCTTCCTTGCACCACTACTAGTAGCTACTACTAGTAGTAGTAGCTAGTAAACTAGATGATGGTGACAAACTCTTACTACTACACACACTATTAGACCAATGTTCCCCCTTGGAAAGGAAGAAGACATGTACTGGTACATCCAGTTGAATGACCATGGTGAGGAGCAAAGTTATAAATGCAAACTCCTTGTCACTCCAGAACGTCACAAAAACTATTCGCGACCCGTAGCGAACCCCCCATCGCAACCCCGTCGCATGCC